AAAGAAATGGATGTAGAGAGAGGGAGGAGAGGGGTTGATTGTAGAGAGCATAGATTGAAATGAGTGGTCGATAGACAGATGAGAGAAAATTAAAAGGGAGGAAAGAAGAGAGGTGTCAGGGGGGTGAAGGAGTGGTAGATGGACTAATGAGAGGAAAGAAGAGAGGAGGTGTAAAGGAGTGATGGGCAGATGATGGGCAGATAAGAGGAGTGGGAAGGGAGAAGAGAAAGGAGTGATAGATAAACAGATGAGAGGAGTGGGAAGGAGAGATTATGTATAAAGGACAGATGAGAGGAGAGAGGAGATGTCAGGGGTAAAGATTAGGAGCAGGTCATGAGGTCAGATATCATTAGAGACACACGCTCCAGAGTGGCTCTGAGGCCCCCACCTCCTCCAAACTCCTCTGTGTATATGGCGTGTGTGTTTGTGTGTGTGTGCATGTGAAAGAAAGGACAGGTAAACTGAGCTCCATTACAGAGTTAAGGGAGAGAGAGAGAAAAATGTTTTAGAGAGAGAGAGAGAGAGAGAGAGAGAGAGAGAGAGAGAGAGAGAGAGAGATTTACTGCCACCTGCAGTTATGGAATGTTTCCTCACAAGTATAATTCAATGGCTGATATATCCTTGTGACCTGGATGGAATTATGTGATCCTTCCTTAAGTTCCACCCAGTTGACTACTTGAAAATGGTGAAAGTCCTCAATGGCGCTGCCCATGCCGAAACAGGCTTTGGGGCACTAGATGTAGAGAGTGGGTCTCTCTCTCTCTCTCTCTCTCTCTCTCTCTCTCTCTCTCTCTCTCTCTCTCTCTCTCTCTCTCTCTCTCTCTCTCTCTCTCTTCTCTCAGCTCCATGTGTGTAGTGAGTATTTCCACCTCCTATGTTTAACTTCATGATTGATGGTGATGAGCGGAACTCCTTACAGTAGGTGACAGAGGATACATACAGGAACTAAGAGTGAGTCACTTCATGTCCCAGTTGTTCACAGGGCAGGCTATTTGAGGCCATAGCTTTGGGTTCTCAGATAAACCCTGACATGAATTATGTAAAGCATCCCTCTCCTCTGCCTTCATGTCAACTGGATGAGTGGCTTCTTTATCATCCTAACACACATTTTTCAGCAGGCACTTCTCTAGCTGGCTAGGGAGATGGGTTGTATTTATATGGCTACTCTAAGCACTGCACAAGTAACACAGGGCGAGTTCGAGCGGATCACTTTTGTCAAGTCATTGACCATCGTTGGTCACCGCCTTCCCAAGTGTGTTGCATTATGCGGATAAAAATTGTCAGACTTGCGCTGATCAAAGGTCATGAAGTTTTGACTGCAGTCAACTGCAAGTTTCTGAAGTTGCTCTTTATCCAGTGCCTGCATTGTGGGTGTCTCGATTGTCAACCAATCATTAGAGTGTTTTTGTTTGACCCAAGCGAAAGTGACCAAAGACATGACTGAAACAGGAACCAACTTTGCCGTGATTCATGTATACAGTGGATATGTACAAATGAATGTGATATTTGAGGCTTTCTCACCAATTGATAGTACAATGTACACACACATACAGTATGTTTACAGTTTGTGAGTGTGTGATATGAGGGATGGAGACATGTTTATTTCGACAAGAAAAACTTGTATAAACAAGAGCAACACTTTCGGCCCACAATCTCAGTAAGGACCCTCATCTGGCATCCATGCTCCCTTCAGCAGACTCTTGCTTCTATCTCCTCTCTGCACGCTCAATAACTCCCTAAAATGACCATTTTTCTTCTGTAGTTTCTCTCTGACTGTTCCTCTGCCTTTTAGTTCCCCTGCCCGTCCTCCAAACTCTGGACCAGAACTCTTCTTAACCCCTTGAGAGAGTTGAACACTGATAAACCCTTATCCTCACCTGCCCTGTTCCACTCCACTACCTGAACAGCATATCTCCCTGGCCTATCAGAGAGGAGTGCACGTGGCATGCTCTGTGAGCTGCAGGAGATACACCTCACCAACACCTCTGCGGCTGCCAGCTCGCAACAAAAGACCAACCTCATGGGAATTATTCCTTCCAGATAGAATATTCTGGAGGGTTTTCCCTTCTGTATTGGGTCTCTGTGAGAGTGCCTGTGAGCTGTTTTAGGACTGCTCTCTAAGAGGGGCTGTTCCACTGAGAGGGTTGCCCATCACCCTGTTAACACAAGTCTCTCAGCCTGTTAACGCATGGTGCTTCATGGTAGATGTACTGCCATTACTAGCCCAAGGGAGAGGATATGACAGGCAGGCAGGCAGGCAGGCAGGCAGGCAGGCAGGCAGGCAGGCAGGCAGGCAGGCAGGCAGGCAGGCAGGCAGGCAGGCAGGCAGGCAGGCAGGCAGACAGACAGACAGACAGACAGACAGACAGACAGACAGACAGACAGACAGACAGACAGACAGACAGACAGACAGACAGACAGACAGACAGACAGACAGACAGACAGACAGACAGACAGACAGACAGACAGACAGACAGACAGACAGACAGACAGACAGACAGACAGACAGACAGACAGACAGACAGACAGACAGACAGACAGACAGACAGACAGACAGACAGACCATTGACTGTATATGAATGGGCAAAGCCATATAAATCACGTGACACCATTCATTCCTATGTGAAGACTCATTAGAGCATTTGAAGCCAAGGAAGTCGGTTAAGATGGCGTCTCATGGAGACATAACGAGACACACTCTTTTCACGACACTTTGATACAGCTACGACCGGAAGGGATTTTCGTAGCTTCGTTAGGACAGCATTTTCTCTAACCATAACCCTAATCCTTTTCCTAACCTTAACCTAATTATCCTAACCTGCTACGTTAATTATGCTAACTTGCTGTGTAAGTTCTCCTAACCTGCTACGAACAAGTCACTTCCGGTCGCATCGAAGTGATGTGAAAAGAGTGTTTCTTGAGACGTAACATGCGCAGTTTGAGCTAAGCGCTTCAGCACTCGGCGCTTCCGTTCTGTGAGCTTGTGTGGCCTACCACTTCGCAGCTGAGACGTTGTTGCTCCTAGACGTTTCCACTTCACAATAACAGCACTTACAGTTGACCAGAGCAGCTCTAGCAGGGCAGAAACTTGACAAACTGACTTGTTGGAAAGGTGGCATCCTATGACAGTGCCACGTTGAAAGTAACTGAGCTCGTCAGTAAGGCCATTCTACTGCCTATGTTTGTCTATGGAGATTGCATGGCGGTGTGCTTGATTTTATACACCTGTCAGCAACGGATGTGGCTGAAAAAAACAAATCCACTAATTTGAAGGGGTGTCCACATACTTTTGTATATGTAGTGTATTATACTATTGAATAATGCAACAATTCACAAGCATGTGCAGACATTTACATTACATTTTAGTCATTTAGCAGACGCTCTTATCCAGAGCGACTTACAGTTAGTGAGTGCATACATATATATTTTTTTTCATACTGGCACCCCGTGGGAAACGAACCCACAACCCTGGCGTTGCAAGTGCCATGCTCTACCAACTGAGCTACAGGGGACTAATTAAAGGGTTTACTTTCTCGTCTGTAGGCTACACTCATTACATTTTAGCTTCAAGACAAAAGCACAGAGTTGCTAACAGGATGTCTTCGTCAAGTAATGTTAGCCAATCAAAAATGTACGATTAACCTGCTCATACGAATATAAAAGTACAGTAGGCCTACCTTACAACATTACAACAAATCAGGCTTCATTTCATCAATATCATGCAAATCATTACATGTAGTAAAAGCAAATTGCAACAAGCTGTTCTATATGGAAGCCGACACCCGCCACCCAAAAAAATACATAAAATGCCTCATGATTTGTCAACGTGCACAATTAGTCTGTGCTTCAGTCTGATCAACTGTAGCCTACTGATAACAACCACAGCTGCAGGTAACCTGGAGAAGCCTATGCTCTCTGATCCCATCTGGGCCTTGCCAGAAATATCATGTTTTTATAGCCTAAGCTATGACCTGAATCGAAAAAGAATCTGGTCCCATCATAGCCAATATAAAACCTTTTTTACAGCTGATTCATTACTATGTCATACACTACAACTAGGGTCCGGAGTTGGTTTGGTTAGCCTACTACCAGATCAGGAAAAACTCTGGGCCCCAGGAAAACTATTTTCCCTCCACCACTCTGGGACATATGGTGCCACTGCTGAAATCACCACACAATGTTACAAATGAAAAAACATCCTGTTTGTATGATCTACATTTTACATGTTTTTGGTGGTGGGGATGAGCTTCCATAGTTTTATGTGGCTCAGTGCAGCCGGCAGCTACTGTGACAATTTCAGAATGTAACAGGGTGTTGTTACTGCAATTTCAGGTAAAAACTTAATAAAACAAGTCTCAAATATTAGGAAAATGTCTTTACATTTCAGCTGTTTCAAAAACATTGCTCTGCTATTACCATGTTGGCTCAACGAGACAACTCTGTTTACGCTGCCCTGCTTCAACGACGCAACTGTTGGGCGAGTGTCGTGCGTTACCTCCGGAGGTAGCGGTCGAGACGTACGCAAGTTTACATTTGAGTAATATGTGTAGCCGACTGTATTTTTATGAAACGTGTAGTAAGTGTGAAGAGGCTAGATTTTTGGTTGAGATGGAAACGTGAATCCAATATATTAATTATTAACTTGTAGATTACATTTGAAATCAACCAACGCTTCAAACCCTAGGCTTATTTGTAGTGTCTATGTTTAGTTGAACCCTGGGTTGAAATGAAACAATAGCTGTTTATGACTTCGCTATATGGCCTAAATAGTATGATGATACAGTAGCTTCATTCTTGTGTGTTTTATTTCTTAGGTGTTTTAGTATTTTCTATTTAACTCTGCATCGTTAGGAAAGAGCTTGTAAGTAAGCATTTCACTGTAAAGTCTACACCTGTTGTATTCGGTGCATGTGAGAAATACAATTTTATTTTATTTTATTTGTTATGCACATTTTAGAGTCTATGAGGCCTCAGCATGGCGTGATAAAAGTCATAGTGAAATGGAGTTGATGGTGAATGAGGTAACAAGTGAGTGAGTCTGCAGTGTATTGACTGTCTTCGGCCCAAGAGTGTGGGGAGCTGCTAACGTCAACAGCAACCCAGATAAGGGGGATTAGAAAAGAGGGGTACAGGGAGATAGACAAACAGTGACAGAGGATGGAGAGTGAAAGAGTGAGACACTTGGGTATAAAGACATAATGAAGGGAGAGACAATTAGGGCTGGAAGTTAGATGGAGTGAGAGACAAAAATGGTAAGATAAAGAAAGATATACAGAGAGCGGTTGAGAAATAAATGACTAGAGAGGTGGAGAGAGTGAGAGAAAGGCATACCATATTGCCATATTAAATTGAGTGTGTGTGAATGTGAGTGTGTGTGTGTGTGTGTGTGTGTGTTTGTCCCTGCTGTGAAGGGAGTTCACTGGTACAGGACGTGCTCTTGAAAATGATCAACTATAAAAAATAAAAAAAACAAGAGAGATTTATCACTTTTATGTCTCACACGGGCCCACTGCTGAGCTCTCTCTCGCTCTTTTTCTATTTCTCTCTCGCTCTCTCTCTCTCTCTCTGAGAGAAAGATAAAGCTGAGAGAACATTCTGTGTGTGTGTATGTTTGTGTGTGCTAGACTCTTAAATCCCTTGAGATTATGGTTCAGGCCGTTAACGATGCAATCGTTATGATGGTCAAATACCTGATATATTGTATGTCTAGAAAGATGTGTGTGCGTGTTGATACACACACACATACAAAGATTATGTGTACCTGTTCGAGAGGATTTGCTCCAGTCCGAGCCCTCAGGCTATGATTACACTCTGACAAATGAGCTCCGATGTTAGGAGCAGCAAACCATCATCATCACAAATCACCACTTTGGCTCGCTTATTTCACAAAATATAGTCTGGTATTCAGTAAATGTTTGAGGAATACAATTCGTCTCAACCCATAAACTAAACATAATCTCACCCTTTCAGATCCCTTAACATCATGCTCTCTCTCCTCATCCCCCTCTCCTCTCTCTTTCTCTCCTCACCCCCCTCTCCTCTCTCTTTCTCTCCTCATCCCCCTCTCCTCTCTCTTTCTCTCCTCACCCCCTCTCCTCTCTCTTTCTCTCCTCATCCCCCTCTCCTCTCTCTTTCTCTCCTCATCCCCCTCTCTCCTCTCTCTCTCTCTCGGCCAGGTGAGGATGACGAGGATGAAGAGTGCGGTGAGGAGAAGCTGCCGTCCTGCTTCGACTACGTCATGCACTTCCTCACCGTCTTCTGGAAGGTTCTGTTTGCGTTCGTGCCCCCGACAGACTACTGGAACGGCTGGGCCTGCTTCGTGGTGTCCATCTGTATGATCGGCCTGCTCACAGCCTTCATCGGGGACCTGGCCTCCCACTTCGGCTGCACCGTGGGCCTCAAGGACTCTGTCACCGCCGTGGTGTTCGTGGCCCTGGGGACCTCTGTGCCAGGTAATATTATATACTAACACTGGTGTTTATGCTAGATTTACTTGCTTTGTAATGGTTATGGTGGCACTCCTTTTACAGTAGCATTTAACCTAGATTATGTAATGATTGTGGTAATGCTTTTCCTACACAGGTCCTCTAGATTTAGGGCTTGATTCAATCTGTATCACAGAAGTTCAGCACTATAGCGTCATTTACACTGCTTACACCCCAGCTAGATACTGTTTACATGTGTACATGACATGTTAGTCAATAGCTGATGCTCTGTTCCTGAGCAGCTTAACATCAATGTATACAAGTGAGCGGGTTAAACAAGAGCCTAAATAAATACACATGTAACATCAGTTCAATACCTCACAGCTACCATGGCATACACTTCACACTGCTATGATAAATACTAGAACTAAGTGCACAACCAGAAGTGTGTGGAATGGAAAACGTTGAAACTGAGTAACTGCTAGTAGGAGAGGGGTCAGGCGTGGGTTAGGGGTCAGGCGTGGGTTAGGGGTCAGGCGTGGGTTAGGGGTCAGGCGTGGGTTAGGGGTCAGGCGTGGGTTAGGGGTCAGGCGTGGGTTAGTCCAGAAGATGGCTGATGTCTTTAGAGGCAGAAGATGGGCAGTGACTCAGATGTGGAGTCAAACAAACACACACACACACAAGCACACACACACAGAGACACACACATTGCTCTTTGCGGTTTTGACTGTTGCAGCAGCCTGACTAGCTTTAGTCATCGACCTTCCCCCAGGTGTGATGGAATGTTTCTCCATGAGTTTCACACTCTGTACAGAGTATACACACATAAGCACACATCTCAATAGCTTTCAACTGGTACTGATACAGTACTTAGCTAATTAGCTAATTAGCACTCAGTCCATGTATTATACACTGAGCTGCTTCACAGACCTGCTGACCAGCCAGCCACTGTAACTCACTCAGGACTCACCGCTCTGACACTTCTAGACAATACTCCTGAAATACTGTTCCCCTCACTTCACTAGTACTTTAAACCACATTTCACTAGCACAAAGGACAAAGAGGTGTAGAGAAACATTACAAGCAGTTAATATTGTTTGTCATTCTGTTTGTTTGCACGAAGCATGTTGTGTGTGCATGTGTAACTTTCCAACAGAGTACACACGTATGTAGTGGCCTCCTAATTTTAACCCTGCCTCCCCATGCTCACACAAACACACACCGCTTCGTTGCTCCGCCACCCGTGTTCATTAGTATGGAGTCATTTTGAATGGGGCTCAGGTGTGTGTAGTGTCATGCCCTTTAGTGTTCAGGGGCATGAATATGATGCATTACACTACACAGGAGCATAAACAATAACCGAGGGAGTTAAGCTAGCATTAGCCGCCGTAGCGTTGTGCTGCTGTGCTGTGTAAATGGACCCTGCTGGAGCCCTCACACCACACCTCTCGCCCCACTGTAATTATAGTCAATATAAAGGCATACCACAGCCACACGTCTCAATGAGCCTCGTTTGTCATGTTTTTTTTAGTAGGTAGATCAGCTTTAATATTGCATATAGATTGTAACTTCCATCAATGATATAAGACATGAAGGTCAATCAATACGGAATATTTGGCCTTCTGGAGACTAGTTGAGTATCTGGAGCATCAGCAATTGTGGGTTCGATTACAGGCTCAAAATGGCCAGAAACAAATAACTTTCTTCTGAAACTCATCAGTCTATTCTTGTTCTGAGAAATGAAGGCTATTCCATGCGAGAAATTGCCAAGAAACTGAAGATCTCGTACAACGCTGTGTACTACTCCCTTCTCACAAGGGTGTAGTACATTTTGAGTCTGTAATCGAACCCACAATTGCTGATGCTCCAGATACTCAACTAGTCTTAAGGCCAGTTTTATTGCTTCTTTGCTTCACAGTTTTCAGCTGTGCTAACATAATTGCAAAAGTTTTTCTAATGATCATTTAGCCTTTTAAAATGATAAACTTGGATTAGCAAACACAACGTGCCATTAGAACACAGGACTGATGGTTGCTGATAATGGGCCTCTGTACGCCTATGTAGATATTCCATTAAAAATCAGCAGTTTCCAGCTACAATAGCCATTTACAACATTAACAATGTCTACACTGTATTTCTGATCAATTTGATGTTATTTTAATGGACAATTATTTTAGTTTATTTTTTAAACAAGGACATTTCTAAGTGACCCCAAACTTTTGAACGGTAGTGTACATATAAACATATATATATATATATATATATTTACATCGTTTGTCATGGTTACTCCTGAGTGGCGCAGTGGTCTAAGGCACTGCATCGCAGTGCTAACTGTGCCACTAGAGATCCTGGATCGAATCCAGGCTCTGTCGCAGCCGGCCGTGACCGGGAGACTCATGGGCGGCGCACAATTGGCCCAGCGTCGTCCAGGGTAGGGGAGGGAATGGCCGGCAGGGTAGGGGAGGGAATGTAGCTCAGTTGATAGAGCATGGTGTTTGCAACGCCAGGGTTGTGGGTTTGATTCCCACAGGGGGCCAGTATAAAAAAAATATGTATTCACTAACTGTAAGTCGCTCTGGATAAGAGCGTCTGCTAAATGACTAAAATGTAAATGTAAATGTTAGTGAGCCGGAGAAGAACATCAGCAGCCCAAATAAAAGTAACATAGAGGGAGGTCAGATTGTGTGTGAGTGTGTGTGAGTGTGTGTTTGTGTGTGTGTGTGTGTGTGTGGTGTGTGCGTGCACGTGCGCGAGCGCGTCTGTGTCTGTGGGTTTGTGTGCATGTGAGTGAGTGTGTGTGCGTGCATGTGTGAGTATTTCGAAATAAATGGAGTATGATAAAGAGCACACTAAGGAGAATATGTACAGTTGAAGTCGGAAGTTTACATACACATTACATTTACATTTTAGTCATTTAGCAGACGCTCTTATCCAGAGCGACTTACAGTTAGCGCATACATTATTTTATCGAACCCACAACCCTGGCGTTGCAAACGCCATGCTCTACCAACTGAGCTACATAGCCAAATACATTTAAACTCAGTTTTTCACAATTCCTGACATTTAATCCTAGTAAATATTCCCTGTCTTAGGTCAGTTAGGATCACCACTTTATTTTAAGAATGTGAAATATCAGAATAATAGTAGAGAGAATGATTTATTTCAGCTTTTATTTCTTTCATCACATTCCCAGTGGGTCAGAAGTTTACATACACTCAATTAGTATTTGGTAGCATTGCCTTTAAATTGTTTAACTTGGGTCAAACGTTCCGGGTAGCCTTTCACAAGCTTCCCACAATAAGTTGGGTGAATTTTGGCCCATTCTTCCTGACAGAGCTGGTGTAACTGAGTCAGGTTAGTAGGCCTCCATGCTTGCAAACGCTTTTTCAGTTGTGCCCACAAATGTTCTATAGGATTGAGGTCAGGGCTTTGTGATGGCCACTCCAATACCTTGACTTTGTTGTCCTTAAGCCATTTTGCCACAAATTTGGAAGTATGCTTGGGGTCATTGTCCATTTGGAAGACCCATTTGCGACCAAGCTTTAACTTCCTGACTGATGTCTTGAGATGTTGCTTCAATATACAGTGGGGAAAAAAAGTATTTAGTCAGCCACCAATTGTGCAAGTTCTCCCACTTAAAAAGATGAGAGAGGCCTGTCATTTTCATCATAGGTACACGTCAACTATGACAGACAAATTGAGATTTTTTTTTACAGAAAATCACATTGTAGGATTTTTAATGAATTTATTTGCAAATTATGGTGGAAAATAAGTATTTGGTCACCTACAAAGAAGCAAGATTTCTGGCTCTCACAGACCTGTAACTTCTTCTTTAAGAGGCTCCTCTGTCCTCCACTCGTTACCTGTATTAATGGCACCTGTTTGAACTTGTTATCAGTATAAAAGACACCTGTCCACAACCTCAAACAGTCACACTCCAAACTCCACTATGGCCAAGACCAAAGAGCTGTCAAAGGACACCAAAAAACAAAATTGTAGACCTGCACCAGGCTGGGAAGACTGCATCTGGAATAGGTAAGCAGCTTGGTTTGAATAAATCAACTGTGGGAGCAATTATTAGGAAATGGAAGACATACAAGATCACTGATAATCTCCCTCGATCTGGGGCTCCATGCAAGATCTCACCCCGTGGGGTCAAAATGATCACAAGAACGGTGAGCAGAAATCCCAGAACCACACGGGGGGACCTAGTGAATGACCTGCAGAGAGCTGGGACCAAAGTAACAAAGCCTACCATCAGTAACACACTACGCCGCCAGGGACTCAAATCCTGCAGTGCTAGACGTGTCCCCCTGCTTAAGCCAGTACATGTCCAGGCCCGTCTGAAGTTTGCTAGAGTGCATCCAGAAGAGGATTGGGAAAATGTCATATGGTCAGATGAAACCAAAATAGAACTTTTTGGTAAAAACTCAACTCGTCGTGTTTGGAGGACAAAGAATGCTGAGTTGCATCCAAAGAACACCATACCTACTGTGAAGCATGGGGGTGAAAACATCATGCTTTGGGGCTGTTTTTCTGCAAAGGGACCAGGATGACTGATCCGTGTAAAGGAAAGAATGAATGGGGCCATGTAACGTGAGATTTTGAGTGAAAACCTCCTTCCATCAGCAAGGGCATTGAAGATGAAACGTGGCTGGGTCTTTCAGCATGACAATGATCCCAAACACACCGCCCGGGCAACGAAGGAGTGGCTTCGTAAGAAGCATTTCAAGGTCCTGGAGTGGCCTAGCCAGTCTCCAGATCTCAACCCCATAGAAAATCTTTGGAGGGAGTTGAAAGTCTGTGTTGCCCAGCGACAGCCCCAAAACATCACTGCTCTAGAGGAGATCTGCATGGAGGAATGGACCAAAATACCAGCAACAGTGTGTGAAAACCTTGTGAAGACTTACAGAAAACGTTTGACCTGTGTCATTGCCAACAAAGGGTATATAACAAAGTATTGAGAAACTTTTGTTATTGACCAAATACTTATTTTCCACCATAATTTGCAAATAAATTCATAAAAAATCCTACAATGTGATTTTCTGGATTTTTTTTTCTCATTTTGTCTGTCATAGTTGACGTGTACCTATGATGAAAATTACAGGCCTCTCTCATCTTTTTAAGTGGGAGAACTTGCACAATTGGTGGCTGACTAAATACTTTTTTCCCCCACTGTATCCACATAATTTTCCTTCCTCATGATGCCAAATTTGTGAAGTGCACCAGTCCCTCCTGCAGCAAAGCACCCCCACAGCATGATACTGCCACCCCCGTGCTTCATGGTTGGGATGGTGTTCTTCGGCTTGCAAGCAACCACCTTTTTCCTCCAAACATAACGATGGTCATTATGACCAAACAGTTCTATTTTTGTTTCATCAGACCAGAGGACATTTCTCCAAAAAGTACGATCTTTGTCCCCATGTGCAGTTGCAAACCGTAGTCTGGCTTTTTTATGGCGGTTTTGGAGCAGTGGCTTCTTCCTTGCTGAGCGGCCTTTCAGGTTATGTCGATATAGGACTCGTTTTTACTGTGGATATAGATACTTTTGTACCTGTTACCTCCAGCATCTTCACAAGGTCCTTTGCTGTTGTTCTGGGATTGATTTGCACTTTTCACACCAAAGTACGTTCATCTCTAGGAGACAGAACGCGTCTCCTTCCTGAGCGGTATGACGGCTGCGTGGTCCCATGGTGTTTATACTTGCGTACTATTGTTTGTACAGATGAACGTGGTACATTCAGGCATTTGGAAATTGCTCGCAAGGATGAACCAGACTTGTGGAGGTCTACAATTTCTTTTCTGAGGTCTTGGCTGATTTCTTTTGATTTTCCCATGATGTCAAGCATAGAGGCACTGAGTTTGAAGGTAGGCCTTGAAATAGATCCACAGGTACACCTCCAGGTACACCTACAATCAGAAGCTTCTAAAGCCATGACATAATTTTCTGGAATTTTCCAAGCTGTTTAAAGGCACAGTCAACTTAGTGTATGTAAACTTCTGACCCACTGGAATTGTGATACAGTGAATTATAAGTGAAATAATATGTCTGTGAACAATTGTGGGAAAAATTGTGTTATGCACAAAGTAGATGTCCTAACCGACTTGCCAAAACTATAGTTTGTTATCAAGAAATTTGTGGAGTGGTTGAAAAACACGTTTTAATGACTCCAACCTAAGTGTATGTAAACGTAGGTTGGAGATTTACTTCAACTGTAAATCTCTGCATTTAGTCATGCAATACAAAAGTTACCCTTGTACTGTATATACAGAACACCAAAAAGTACATTGGTCTCAAGGGTGTTTTCCATCCTACATGTGGCTTTGCTAATGTATGGTTAATTAATAGGACTGTAGGGAAAGTGTTGAACAACCCTTCCCAGGCATACTGCTGGCACACTGCCCTCCTGGGCTCACACACACGCACACACACACACATCTGAATATGTGTCAGAAGTTAAGACAGCGAGCCTCTTCTTTCGAGACTTTCCTCAGAAAGCGGCAGGTCTAAATATAGGTCCAACTGTTGTCACGTCCCTCTCTCTGGCCAATTAGCACCGCCACCTCTGTGTTGACGTTTACTACTTCACAAAGTGGAGTCTTTCTGGTTCGAACTCTCTCTGTGCTAGGTTGATACACTTTGAAGGTGTTATGAAAAACGACTGGGTATTTAGTGAAAGTCGCTCCCTGTTTTTTATCAGTGCAGGTAGAGGGACGTTTAAACATGTCTTGCTATTTCCACGAACCTACTGTACATGTAGTTGTTTCTAATGCTATGGACTGCTCCTCTATAGGGCCTTACTAGGCAAACAGCCAATGGTTGATAGAATGGGAGATCCAACCAAGACGTCCATCTGTAGGCGTGAGCATGACATTTATCATGGAGGTGTGGATAGGTTATGGGGTGCACAGTCACAGTCAGTCCTAACACATCTAGAGAAAAGAGAAGCTCTCCACTGTCCTTCCTGACTCACTAAAACCATGATTGGATAGTAGGAGTGTGGGAGCATCGATTCATGTGAGAACACCCCCAGCACACAGGATGTGACATCATCAGCATCACTTCCTCCTGGCTTTGTCAGGAAGGGACAGCAGCGACGGACAAGGGCATGGAGGCCTAATTGCCATAGTAACTGATATAGCCATTAGAGGCAGCTGCGGCAGAGAGAGGCTGTTGCTGCATGTTAATAGGACCGGAGAGAGCAGCAGATGTGTGGTAGGCAGTTAAATGGCTGGTGATTGTAGGGCTTGTCAAAGATAACAGTCTCCACTGTGACTGTGTGATGTCACAGCCAGGAAGTGATTAGCAGTCAAGCTCTTATCATAGAGATGGAACTGGGAGGTATAAAACAGTGCTCAGACGGCAGGAGCTTATACCTTTTTCTATCTGCTTTAGAAAAGCAATTTTCTTGGCGTTAGAGAGGACCCAGGTTTAACTGTACAGGCTCTTGATAGGGCAGAGGAGATTGAATATGTGGTGTAGGATAGAGAGGAGCAATAAGAAGGACAGCACAGTCACACAGAGACGTTCTATCTGCCCTCACACACTGCTCTCTATCCTTACACAATCACAGCCGCCAAGTGGACTGCAGTGTGTGTGTGGGTATGCATGTGGCAGTGCTGGAAACCACTGCCTGGGGTTGGACACAGCGCACGCACGAGCACACACACACACCATGCAGGGACAAACAATCCCTCTATTTCATCTGACAGGACATACTGTGCCATTCTAGACTCTGCCTCCATCTCCTACAGTCATACACTCCTTGCTACACAAATCCCCCTCCCATATCGGAGTCCAAAGGGTAGCTGCAGTAGTCCCCACCCTGTTGTGTGTGTGCTTGCGTGCATTTCCCTTATATAGATGCTCTGGTTTGTGTTGTCGAGAACTGTGAGGCTGCGGCGTTCCCAGAGTCAGAGCACCACACACTGCCCCTCCCCTCCCTCCCTCCCTCCCTCCTCCCTTCCTTCCTTCCTTCCTTCCTTCCTTCCTTCCTTCCTTCCTTCCTTCCTTCCTTCCTTCCTTCCTTCCTTCCTTCCTTCCTTCCTTTCTTCCTTTCTTCCTTCCTTCCTTCCCTCCCTCCATCCCTCCCTCCCTCCCTCCCTCCCTCCATCCATCCCGCCCGCCCTCCCTCCCTCCCTCCCTCCCTCCCTCCATCCCTCTATCCCCTCCCCTCCCTCCATTCTTCCCTTCCTCCCCTCCATCCATTCCTCCTTCCCTTCCCTTCTCAGTAAAGATGCGCAGTATGATGATCAGTGCAGACATTTACAAGGCAACTCCTGTCTGTTCTACATCAGCGAGAGAGCCTTTTGTCCAGCCTGCCGCACAAATCCTGCTGCACTGCCAACGCCTGGATCAGTCTACTGTACTGCAGCTCTCTCGCTCTCTCACAGATGTCTAAACACACCACACTATCTCTGTACAGAGAAGATTGAAGACATTGCGAGTTTTAATGTCACATGCACAAGGACAGTGAAAGGACTTTCTTGCAAGCTCTAACCCCAACAATGTAATACAAAAAATAACAAGGTAGAACAAAAACACACAAGAAATAGAAGAGCTGTCCTTGAACAATAAAAGGGCCAGAAGAAGTGATTGCTCTCATTTAACCAATCAATTTATTCAGAAAGAGTCAGAGAGACAGAAAGAGATAGAGGTGAGAGATATTTTTTAAATAAACTAATATCTTGTAGCAGAAATGTAACTTACAGTTAAACTGTATTGTAGATGGCTGCTTCATGACTCTGTACGTAGAGCGCATTCGGAAAGTATTCAGACCCCTTGACTTTTTCCACATTTTGTTACGTTACAGCCTTATTCTAAAATTGATTAAATTGTATTTTTTCATCAATTTACACACAATACCCCATAACGACAAAGCGAAAACAGGATTTTAGAAATTTTAGCAAATTAATAAAAAATTAAAATGTATTTACATAAATATTCAGACCCTTTGATATGATAATTGAAATTGAGCTCAGGTGCATGCTGTTTTCATTGATCATCCTTCAGATGTTTCTACAACTTGATAGGAGTCCACCTGTGGTAAATTCAATTGATTGGACATGATTTGGAAAGGCACACACCTGTCTATATAAGGTCCCACAGTTGACAGTGCATGTCAGAGCAAAAACCAAGCCATGAGGTTGAATGAATTGTCGTAGAGCTCTGAGACAGGATTGTGTCAAGGCACAGATCTGGGGAAGGGTACCAAAACATTTCTGCAGCATTGAAGGTCCCCAAAAACACAGTGGCCTCCATCATTCTTAAATAGAAGAAGTTTGGAACCACCAAGACTCTTCCTAGAGCTGGTCGCCCAGCCAAGAGCCTTGGTCAGGGAGGTGAACAAGAACCTGATGGTCACTCTGACAGAGCTCTAGAGTTCCTCTGTGGAGATGGGAGAACCTTCCAGAAGGACAACCATCTCTGCAGCATTCCACCAATCAGGCCTTTATGGTAGAGTGGCCAAATGGAAGCCACTCCTCAGTAAAAGGCACATGACAGCCCGCTTGGAGTTTGCCAAAAGGCACCTAAAGACTCTCAGACCATGAGAAACAAGATTCTCTGGTCTGATGAAACCAAGATTGAACTCTTTGGCCTGAATGCCAAGTGTCACGTCTGGAGGAAATCTGGCACCATTCCTACGGTGAAGCATGGTGGTGGCAGCATCATGCTGTGGGGATGTTTTTCAGTGGCAGGGACTGGGAGACTAGTCAGGATCGAGGGAAAGATGAACGGAGCAAAGTACAGAGAGATCCTTGATGAAAACCTGCTCCAGAGTGCTCAGGACCTCAGACAGGGGCGAAGGTTCACCTTCCAACAGGACAACGACCCAAAGCACACAGCCAAGACAACGCAGGAGTGGCTTCGGGACAAGTCTCTGAATGTCCTTGAGTGGCCCAGCCAGAGCCTTGACTTGAACCTGATCGAACATCTCTGGAGAGACCAGAAAATAGCTTTGCAGCGACGATCCCCATCCAACCTGACAGAGCTTGAGAGGATCGGCAGAGAAGAATGGGAGAAACTCCCCAAATACAGGTGTGCCAAACTTGTAGCGTCATACCTAAGAAGACTCAAGGCTGTAATCGCTGCTTCAACAAAGTATTGATTAAAGGGTCTGAATACTTATGTAAATGTGATATTTCCGTTTTCTTGAATTAATCAATTTGCTAAACTTTCTAAAAACCAGTTTTTGCTTTGTCATTATGGGGTATTGTGTGTGGATGGATGAGGAAAAATATATATTTAATCAATTTTAGAATAAGGCTGTAACGTAACAAAATGTGGAAAAAGTCAAGGGTCTGAATACTTTCCGAATGCACTGTAGCTGTATACTTCCCAGGGTAATTTCATGTTTTCATGTGAATTTGAGCTAATCGCCATTCAAGCAGAAAGAAATACAGCCGGTATGACGAGTTTTGCATCGTGTGATAGAACATCACTCAGAGATGCACAAAATGATCTAACATTCAAAATGGGTTATACATTTATTTTATGTTTTTCAATCATATTTCTTCCTGGGTCTTGGTCCAGTGGTTTTCCAGCTCAGTGCAAGGCCAGAGTGGCCAGTCGGCAGGCATGGGATCAAGGGACAAGTACCTGTGAGTACTATCCAGTCACTGGACCAGAGATTGATTACTTTTAAGTGATAAATCTTCCTCAGTTACACGTTACAGCTCTCAGACCGGTGTCTGTGTGTCGGTCTGTGTTTTCTTGTTTCAAGCAGAACTAAGCTTTTTTGTGAAGCGATGGATAATAAAGGTCATTGCTCAGCATCTGTTCTAAATCAACCACAGCTACTGTATTCACTATTGTAGTCCAGTAACGTCCACACTTTTTTGCCCATGTCGGTGCCCGTCTTGTGCCATGTTGAAGTCAGCAGAGCTAGATTCCCAGTGAATAGTGCCACTCGGGGCCAATGACCATGGCATTATGTCCAGCTGGCTAGAGCCTGATGCCAGCTCAGTGAATGGAGTGACCCTGAGGAGTACTTTGTCTCAACCTGGCCTCTCTCGCTCTCTCTCGGGCGCCAGGAAAATTAAAGGGAAGGGGTGCACAAAGGAAGTGAGGAAGGACTGAGGGACAGAAAGGGGAATAAAACAGAGTGCTGTGTCACTTGCCAATGAAAGACATCTTAAACATTAGACTAGGTTCCCTGACTTTCTATGGAAGCATTTTCTCCTGGCAAGGTAACTGCAACTTAGCATAAACGGCTGGCTCCTCTCCAGAGATTGAATGGTCTCTTCCTGCTGGGCTGCTGTTGTTCCTAGAGCAGACTAGTTAAATCCAGACACATAGACGACCATTTATGGAGAAGATTGTGTTTGCCTCAGGTATTGATCTGGGTCTGGGGGAAAGAGACCCAGACAGAAGACTTCTGCTGAGACAGAGGTCCTGTCACTGCAACAGTGCCAATTTTGCTCCCCGATTATAGTCTGCAGACATTATATTGAATAATGTCTTATGAAACAATGCTGTTCAGTGTTCTCTAGACTTTGAATTAATATTTAGCTTTTTTGTTTTGCCTGTCACCCTTCACCCACACCCTCTTCCCCATAACCATTCATTCACCCAATCCAATAACCTTTTCCCAATCTTTATTGAATCACACACATAACACTTACCTTTAACCTCCACCCTCCTCCCCTCCATCCCCTTCTCCCCTTTCCCCCAGACACCTTTGCCAGTAAGGTCGCAGCCATCCAGGACCAGTATGCTGATGCATCCATCGGCAACGTGACGGGCAGCAACGCGGTCAACGTGTTCCTGGGCATCGGCGTTGCCTGGTCCATCGCCGCCATCTACCACAACTCCAAGGGCAACGACTTCAAGGTAGACCCGGGGAGCCTGGCCTTCTCCGTCACCCTCTTCACCATCTTCGCATTCATCTGCGTGGGAGTGCTGATGTACCGGCGGCGACCTTCGATCGGCGGCGAGCTGGGGGGTCCGCGGACTCCCAAGATACTGACCACCATGCTGTTTGTCAGCCTGTGGCTGCTGTACATTGTGTTCTCCTCGCTGGAGGTCTACTGCCACTTCAAGGCCTTCTAAACAGCTACAAACTTAAGAAAGCCCTAGAAGAGCTAACCGGAGACAAGAAGGAAGCAACAGCAGCAGTGAAAAAAGTTTTCCTCTTGTCGTTAATAACCCCGACCCACCCCACCCTTTCTCCCTTTTAAGAAGTGAAAGATCCCCCCCTAGTGCTTACAGGATGAGACTGGTTGTTCAGGCGAGGAGCGGCCTGTCAACGTTGGGACAGAGACCTCTCTGAAGTCTGTAGAATACCAGTGTGTGTGTGTGTGTGTGTGTGTGTGTGTGTGTGTGTGTGTGTGTGTGTGTATGTGTGTATGTGTGTGTGTGTGTGTGTGTGTGTGTGTGTGTGTGTGTGTGTGTGTGTGTGTGTGTGTGCGTGTCCTCCTGTCCTGAAGAGGGAGCTGTTTGTCATGTCTCTTACTACCCAGCAGCCCTACAGAAACAGCATCGTCCACATCTGGCGCTTGTTTCAAACTAAACACTAGACATCTGAGTGAAATCATGAAATTCCCCGACCATCATTATTGATATGTATATGCATGAACATCAAAACAAAAGAAAAAAAGATACAGCTGTTCTCAAACATAGTGGGGGGAGTAACAGCTACTTTTGAAGAAAGCCTCTTCTCTGTGTGTTAGTCTTAATAAATCTCAGTTAGGGCCTGGCTGCAAGAGCTGCTCACCACCTTCTGACCCTCAGTTTGATCCCCAGTAGAAAATCTGATTAGGTTTCCTTGTTCTTTTATCTTGCTGTAGATGTAGTTGTGTTACAGGAGTTTAGCATAATTTTACCTTTAAGGCCGTATCGTGATTGAATGGCCAGCGTTACCATTTTAACTATCAGATAACTCGTTGTCAACTTAAATGATCATTTTCAAAACTATCCCAAGATCGCATTTCCAGTTTAGTCAATGGGAGTTTCATCACCACCATGCTTGATTCAAATTGCAATAGAATGCAGAGACCATACTGTATCACCCTCTGCATTAGCTCCATCCATTGGCTACACATCTTTCAGCAGCCTCTCCCATTGGCTCTTTCTCTCCGTCTGTGTGTCTTAGCTCCTACCTGACTGGTCTTTTTATCAGTCCCAGTCCTCAGGGGCTCTACAGTCAATTCTTAACCACTAACCCTAACCAGAAACTTAAACCTTTACCCTTCGCCCCTATCCTAAACCCGCCCTCAACACTAAACCCTCTCCCTCTTTCTCTCTCCATTGAGCAGCACATCTTAATTTTTTTAACATTAAATTGAATATTTCATTAAACAATATCTTAAACATAAAATACATCAATTGTAATGGTGGACAGAAGTGTAGATTAAACCGTTCCTATAATGCAGTAGCACTATAGGGACATTTTACAGAAGTTCAAAGTGAAGCTGGTGAGAAATACATTGACTGAGTATTTTCTCTTTTCTGAGGTAAAGGCTTTTGTCTTAATGATGCAATCTTTTTAATCCACCTTACTGCCAGACTCCAGATATAAGGGTTTACATTCAAGACTGTTACTACACGTCCAGTTCAGCCACATCAGGCAGGTCAATCAGTGTGTGGTAGAGGAAGACGGTCCACATTATTTGATGAATACCCTGAGTTTCCTACTGAGTTTGTTTTATACACTATACTTGATGTGTAACGTAATAATGAAGTAAAAGTAATCATAGTTGTAGTTTGGTTTAGAAAATTATAAACATAGCAAGATTTTGTCTTGTTCTTGTCATTTCTCACCACAGAATTTGCAGCCCCTGAGAAGGTTCTAGATTAAAGTACTTATATGGAAGCCAAATGCAGTTTACTCCTCTTTTGCCAAAGGGAGCTATTTCTAATGGAAACTCCAGTAACAGCTTAGCCAGAATAGTAGTGTGTTTTCTAACACACTGACATTTCTTAACACCAAAAACATCCCTCTGCGGTACTAAAAGCCTTGATATTGTTTTACCTAAACAGAACATTTCTAATGAGAAATGTATATAAAAACATTCACATTTTGTGGAGATGGGTTGATGTTTCGAATTGAAGGAAAAACATTGCACTGGTTCCCATGTTTCTAATGAAAAGGATGACATTGCTAATGTGCTGATGATGACCCTGCTGTTACGTGATTATACATTATGACCTTTCTCTGATCTGAAAAGGTTACTATGACAATGAAATACTAAAAAAGACCTTTCCTCAAACCCTAATATCAAGTTAACCAACTACAAAACAAATGAAAAGAAGAAGAGGAGGAGGAGGAGGAGAAAGACGAACATGTGAAGTACAGCCATACATTGTGTACTGGTGCAGTGAAGCACAAGGACTTCTCCTGCCCAGCATGTGTCGCTATAGTGTGTGTCTACATTGTGACTGTGCAGCATCTCTCTGTGTCCTCTACCCCCCTCCCATGCCATGTCCATATTTCGGAATGATAATTGTTAATTAATGTGCTACTTGTTCACACTGTGCATGAATGATAACATGTCTGTATATACTAAGCAGTATCCCATTCGTTGATGTTGACAGAGGTTTGAATGTTGTATAGATTTAGATTTTTTTTTTCATGTACTAGAACCTAATGTTTTATTTTAAGTTGAATGATGTATTTGGTAACTTGCACATTAAATTAAAAAAGGCAATATCTGCTGTTGTTAAATGAGGTTGAGAACTTAACGAGTTACGTATCTTAAGGGAGTTGCATGGGTATTTGTACAAAAGACACTGCTTGCTAATAATGACATAGCTGGTTGTATTATTTGACAGTGTAAGAGAACTATATACATCAAAGGCTATTTTGTCATTGAAGAGATCATATGTATATACTGTACATTGTTTACCAGAGAGAGGTCTGATACCTCCACATATCTTAGAGAATTCTACATATTTATTTTAAAACCCTCACTAAACTCAAGAATGACAAATATTGCCTTTTTAGAGAAGTAATTTGCTTAAATGCTTGTTTTGCTCTCTCTCTCTCTGTTCCTTCCGTGCTGAGCAGTGTTTCGTCTTAGATATTCTTCATAGCGGGGTGGATTCCTTCTTCATCTCAAGATCTGTCTGTCTGTCTGTCGGTCTGTCGGTCAACCTGGTATGTGCCCACCCATCTGTCTCTCTGACTGGCTGGTTTATTTTTATTTTTTATTTAACCTTTATTTAACCAGGTAGGCCAGTTGAGAACAACTTCTCATTTACAACTGCGACCTGGCCAAGATAAAGCAAAGCAGTGCGATAAAAACAACAACAAAACAGAGTTACATATGGGATAAACAAAAACGTACAGTCAATAACACAATAGAAAAATAGAAAATCTATATACAGTGTGTGCAAATGTAATAACTTATGAAGGTAAGGCAATAAATAGGCCATAGTGCAAAATAATTACAATTTAGTATTAACGCTAGAGTGATAGATGTGCAGAAGATGATGTGCAAATAGAGATACTGGGGTGCAAATGAGCAAAATAAATAACAATATGGGGATTAGGTAGTTTGTTGGGCTAATTACAGATGGGCTGTGTACAGGTGCAGTGATCGGTAAGCTGCTCTGACAACTGATGCTTAAAGTTAGTGAGGGAGATAAGAGTCTCCAGCTTCAGAGATTTTTGCAGTTCGTTCCAGTCATTGGCAGCAGAGAACTGGAAGGAATGGCGGCCAAAGGAGGTGTTGGCTTTGGGGATGACCAGTGAGATATACTTGCTGGAGCGCATACTATGGGTGGGTGTTGCTATGGTGACCAATGAGCTAAGATAAGGTGGGGATTTGCCTAGCAGTGATTTATAGATGACCTGGAGCCAGTGGGTTTGGCGTCGAATATGTAGTGAGGGCCAGCCAACGAGAGCATACAGGTCACAATGGTGGGTAGTATATGGGGCTTTGGTGACAAAACGGATGGCACTGTGATAGACTACATCCAATTTGCTAGGTAGAGTGTTGGAGGCTATTTTGTAAATGACATCGCCGAAGTCAAGGATCGGTAGGATAGTCAGTTTTACGAGGGCATGTATGCAGCATGAGTGAAGGAGGCTTTGTTGTGAAATAAGAAGCCGATTCTAGATTTAACTTTGGATTGGAGATGCTTAATGTGAGTCTGGAAGTAGAGTTTACGGTCTAACCAGACACCTAGGTATTTGTAGTTGTCCACATATTCTAAGTCAGACCCGCCGAGAGTAGTGATTCTAGTCGGGCGGGCGGGCGGGTGCAAGCAGCGTTCGATTGAAGAGCATGCATTTAGTTTTACTAGCGTTTAAGAGCAATTGGAGGCTACGGAAGGAGTGTTGTATGGCATTGAAGCTCGTTTGGAGGTTTGTTAACACAGTGTCCAATGAAGGGCCAGATGTATACAAAATGGTGTCGTCTGTGTAGAGGTGGATCTGAGAGTCACCAGCAGCAAGAGCGACATCATTGATATACACAGAGAATACAGTCGGCCCGAGAATTGAACCCTGTGGCACCCCCATAGAGACTGCCAGAGGTCCAGACAACAGGCCCTCCGATTTGACACATTGAACTCTATCTGAGAAGTAGTTGGTGAACCAGGCGAGGCAGCCATTTGAGAAACCAAGGCTATTTAGTCTGCCAATGGTACTGTACATGCCTATCTGTCTCTGTCCCTGTTGAGTGTCTGTCTGTCTGTCTGCCTGTTGGTACTTGAGGTGAGTCATCTGATTTACACCACCACCCCCCGCTGCTCAGATGGACTGTCGTTTTTCAGGGTTCTAATATATTTCACTTTCTCTCTTTCTTTTCCCTCCTTGCATTCCCTCTTTCTCACTCTTTAGCTCTCTCTCTCCTCTTTAACTTTCACTGAACCTTACCCTCTCGATCTGTCATTTCCTTGCTGTCTCTCTTTTACAGGGTTTAGTTTGCTATTTGTTTTGTCTTTTTGTTTGATTTTGTTTGGTTATAATTGATAGAACATCATGAATTTGTCTTATTTTGTTGATGTCGTCTGTGTTTTTTTCTTTGTGTTGCACAAACGAATAGGAAGAAACTACACTAACTGTGATTACTCTACATGGTACACTTCTGACACAGAAAATAAAG